ATTGGAACACAAATACAGTGGGTGATCGGTTAACGAACATAATCTGTTCCAAGACTGTGTTCACTACCTGAATTGTTCATTAACTGATTATTGATTTACCATAGATTTTTATGGGAATTGATTAATTCATTCTGGAGACCCTCAAAAATACATAAAAATTTATATACTTTTTTACTATGCTTATTTATATGTAATAATAAAAATACATATATACATAGTCTTGCATTTTTATCAGTTATGTTTTTTTCCTGTTTGTGGGTCATTAAAGAATCTGTCCAATGTTGATTGCTTTTCTATCCAAGATTTTTCAGAAGTAATTTATAGTATTCTTGTTGTAGAGATCCCCAAGCCTATTAAACTCAGCCTGGTTTGGATGCCATTCTAAGACCATTGTTCCGACATCATCCCATCTCTTCAAAAGATCTTTAATAGCAGATGTTGGCATTGGTCCTCTTTTGTCTTTCTCTTTTCAGAAGAAAAAAACATCTCGCTGAGTTTCAGATCAGTTTCAGGTTTCATTATGAGTTATTAAATGTTCTTTGTTTTTCAGAAGTGATTTTTGTTACACCTTTAGCTGCTTGAGTCTTCTTGATTATATCTTTCGTATCTAAGATTGTGCCTACTGTAGACCTGTTCAAGCCACACTGCCTGGCAACATCAGACATCTTCTGCCCATTCTCTCTACCTTGGCTATTATCTCTACCTTGGCTATTATCTCTTGCTTGGTTTCTTTGGTGAGCGTGGTTCTTGACACTCCAGTCTTTTTAGGCTCCATAATATTATCAGTTTCTTTTTTTAAATAAAAAGTTCAGAAAAGCACTTAAGCCTACAAAAATTTCAGAGAACAGAAATCAACTAGCACATAAAAAATTATGTAAATGTGAGGCCCAGATGAAATTAGAAATTTGGTGTTAAAATGTTACCAAATATTCAATGGGACAGTTAAACTCTCACCTTTCAAAAATAAAAACTGATACAAAACTGAACGAGTGACTATGTGGCAGTCTCATGAAGACTATAAAAAATTCTTTGTCAGAAAAGTAAACAAAAGGCTGGAATTATATGGGAGAGTTTCAAGGTTAGGAGGATTAACCTACTATATGATCGGTATCAGGTTGAGCGTTGATGTCGACGTCTCCCACACTCTGAAAGATTTCGAATTGTCACCTGGAGACAAGCGAAGACCTATTAGTATTCACTATTTTATGTCGCTTCTTCTTGTGTTTGTTCTCTGAGGTGTTTGTTGTCCGAACTGTTCATTAACCAATCACCCACTGTATGTCTATCTGTCCTAATTGCTATAAAACAAACAAATGGCTGAATGATCAAAGACAAATCCAAATTAATATGGGAGGCAGACAATGGACAATTGTTGTAAAAAGCTAAATTGAGATTGAGATAAGAATTGCTACCTGTAGGAAAAAAAAATGTCTTAAGAAATATTAAAATAAAAATAAATAAAGCTTCAGTGGGATCTAAATTACAAAATTTCAGACCAACAGAAGTCCAACAGATGTTGGAAAGGTTGAAATCTCCAAACAGGATGAGCCTCTGGTTCAAGAGAAAACAGAAAATGCTGAAGAGTTTGGAATATACTCATTCTTTTATGATGTGGTGAATAAACTATGATAATGATCAAATGAAGATCTGGAATGTTGATGGCAAGTGTGGAGTCTTAATATTTGAATACTTTAATTACATGAAGAAACAGAGGATATACTAGTAAAATTCCACCACCCCTGATAAGAGATTTATAAAACTGGTAACATTATATTAATCAGAGAAATCCAGCTCTCAAGAAGGAATTTTTTTTTTTTTTTTTTTTATAGTGTTTGTCTTTACTTAATATTTTTATTGTTAATAGATCTGACATTCTGAAGAAAAATTTTAAATGAATTGTTAGAAGGATGCATAATAGTATATAAATATAAAAATACTGTAATTATTGTGAGATACGCAGTGGGTCAGGGGTCAATCTCGTACTGACCACTTAATCTGCACAGGCTGGTAAAGCCCGATCTCGGAGTCGTAGGATGGCTAGGAGGGCAAATCGAGTGGGGAGTGCGTCGGTAAGTCGACAGGTTTCCTCGGATAAACAGGAGACAGGTTTAACAAAGAACAAAATAAAGGTTTATTATATAACTAAAGAAATTTACAGGAGTATACAAGTTACTGATTATAGCTTAGATGCGGATAACATAAATTTATCTATAAGGGAGCTGTAACTATTCACTATGCCGCGTGAGAGTTTACAAAGAGAGTTATAGTGGCGGTCAGTTATACCTTATGTCGGAGGACGGTATGCGACGATTCTTCTGGACTAGGGAAGCTGGCTGTCTGTCACAGGCTTATGTCTTCTACCGGCTTCTCCTCGGACAGGATCGGGGACGGGAGACAATGTATTCAGACTTTCCTGAGGTTCGCGCGGAGGGACGGTCGCACTGAGGGG